CTAAGGCCCTGATAATTGTGTAAAAATAAATGCGATGTGGCAATGGCAAAGTATAAACAGAAAAAAAAATGAAAAAAAGCATACAAAACAGCACGTTATATACACTTCTATTGCCCGCCAACTAGATTAAGGCGAGCTGTCGATAACAATAAATTGTGTAGGTTACTCATACGCCGTGTAGCGTGCCCCAAGCAATGTTGGAAGTGAAACAAGAAGGGCTGCTAATTCAATGCAAATAGATCACAAAACAACATAGGCGGCGCAGAGGCAGGCAAGCGGCAAGTTATAACTTAAGAATAAATGAAGTTGAAGTAATTTATGATGGCTGACTTTTGGCTTGACAAACTGACTAACTAACTGCCCGCTTCCCGCCTGTCCGCCTGTCGGCTTAGCTGACTGGATAAATAACTGCCGCTTGACTGGTTAACGGTGCGGCACAATGCGATGCGATTCGGGGCGGTGCGGTGGTGTGTAGGTATTGGTTAGTTGCTGCGCAAAAAGCATAATCGAAGCGTACGATTCGAATGAAAGGTATTGCCGGTATTAGTAATGAAATGTATTTATAGATTTGCTTCGTAAATTTATGTTTATGTATGCATGTATAGGTAGATTTATTTGTATGCTTTTTGTATTTTCGTTTTTTCATTCAAACTAAAATTTCACCAACGAATGTTCGTTTCTCAAAAACAACCATCACATATTCAGAAAGTTCACTTTCAAACTTTAAAAATACCCTCGACAAAATTATTATTCTCAGAAAGTTTTTTTTTGTTTTTATTGAAAAATTCTAAATTTCAAATCCCGATGCTCAATCGTCTAATTGAGATAATCAAACATTGTAGCAGAAATTTAAATTAAAATTAAAGTTCGTCAATCACTAACATTTGAGGGGGTAAGAGTTGAAAAAAAGTCGATTTAGCCATATCCGTCTGTCTCAATATGTGCAAACTAGTCCCTCAGTTTTTGAGATATCGACCTGATAATTTACACACGTCTATTTCAACCAAAACTTAAGCTCATTTGACTGAACCACCGATATCGAGCCACTATAGCATATAGCTGCCATATAAACTGAACAATTGAAGTAAACTCGTTGTTTAGAAAATTTTTTTAATTGACGAGATATATATTGGCAACAATACTGAACAATCGCAATAAACTCCTAGTTTATAAAACTTTTTTATTTGGGAATATTGTGTCCAGAAAATTGGCTTGGATTGTTGTTCAAGGAAGTGCTACAATTTCTGTTGTTCAAGGAAGTGCTACAATTTCTGTTGTTCAAATCGCAACACTATAACATATAGTATATAGCTGTCTTAATACCGATCAATAAAAATGAAGTTCTTATATGAAATTTTTTTCTCATTTGTGAAGGATATTATATATAACTTTTCTTCTTTCTTTTATTGCTTTTATATTTAACTTATTGCTTCTCGTATTCAATTTTATTATACTGATTGTGCAGTACACGTTAGGCAATTAAATCAGTGTTTGATTTGACAATTTATAAGTAGAGACACGCAATCTATAAATGAACTGCGAATGTATGCGTAATTACATATCTCGGGTTTCAGAGTTTAGATTGTTAATTTTTTGTGATTTAATTTCAAATTAAATTTGATTAGACGGCGGATGACCTACGCTCCCATCCCAGCTTGACACTGGAGGGTTTTTACTTGAAAAATCAAATCGTATATAAAATTTTAATTTCATAAATTTCATAAAATCCGTTAGCATTTCTATGTCAGCTTAAAAATTTTAAGTGCACAAAAGGAACTAGAAGCATGGCCTAGCATCCAGCAGAGGTGTAAGCAAAAATTATATAAAGGAAAAAGAAATATGTTTAGTAAATTGAATATTTTTTGGTCTCTATTGTTTAGAATAGATAAATTAATTTAATCTGAATCCCTTTTTTCTTTAAGGAGGCCATAATAGTCATCTTCTCAATGTGGCAATGTGACCCCACCCTCTAACAAGTTTAATATACATATCTTCTAAACCACTTAAGCTACAATAACCAAATTTCCTGAGCCCAAATCTTATAAGTACTTCTATCGGCAGTATGAAAATGGATAAAATCGGAGGATAACCTCGCTCACTCCCCATATAATGCTATAAATCAATAACTATATACGCCAGAAACATTAAATTTTACCAATTTTACTTTAATGGAGCTGGTAACAAAATTAGCATTTTTTAGTGAAACGCCATATCTCGGGACCCGTCCGACCGATTTCGACAAAAAAAGGCATTTTTATTTTCTTATATTGCGTTGTAAAAACGTAATCAGACAACAACAACGCCTACTTCCCATACAATACAACTTTAAATTCCACTTCATTCACTCAGTTTCCAGTACACAAATCAAGAAACAATTAATATAACGGGATACAACTTTGTACTAATAATGTCTTTTGTGTGTGCCACCTTATGTTCAAAAATTATTTAAGTCCAATAAAAACTGTTCAAGCGCCTGAATATCGAATATTTAGACCTGGGTACCTTTTGATCGAAAATGTCGGTCAATGTGTGGTACTTATTACTTCAACTTGGAGTAGGTTGGAGTCTAACTTTTGTTTTTATTTTTTTCTAATCAAATATAACATATAGAAAAAGAATAACATATCTCTTAGCCACGCCCCCTCTACTTCTCAAAACTTCACTATATGACGCTAAGTTTTAAGTCATAACTTAATTTTTTGCATAATTCATATTGGAAAGAATACTAATTTATATTTAATATTCGTATATAATTTATTATTAACATTTCTTCCGTAGAAGAGAGGAAAAAAAATAAATATAGACGTTCTACATTGCTTTACAAATAACCATTTTTTAAAGGCTAGTTAATTCGCAGCTACATTGCCATTTCTCCGCTATGCTTTCTCGAGTATTCCGGCAGTTTATCCTTGTTATACATGTTTCCCACATTTTCGTAATCATTATTATTCATTTTAATGTAGTTACATATGCCCACTGCCGTATGACACGTAAATACTTATTTAAGCTTAAACTTTTTGGTTTGTTTTTGTATGCAAATATGTGTTTTTGGCTTGTGGCTCACAAGTGTTAATTAAAAATAAATTACGTATACGTCATGTACAACCAGCCGTAATGAACTTCTTTCACGGCACGAGCATCGAGATGAATATCTCATATTCGAGCAATAATTTACACAACACGAGGAAGAAAGGATGTAACTATATTTACAAAGACAACAACAATAAAACTTTGAGTTCGCAAAAGCAAGTAAAAAAATTTTTTTGATACTGGATTTTAAATAATGAAATCTATAAAATAATGCAAGGGGCGATATCGTTGAATAATGCAGGCCTAAAGGGATGGAAAAGATTGTGAACAACCATATAAGATCGAAGGCGCTGAAAATCTCACCCCTACACGTTAGTTTGCACGCGAACAGAGCAGACAGATCCACTAACACTCTCTGCACCAAACACGGCTGAACTTCAGAATTCAATAGATAATGGCGAGGTTGCGATATGCGCTTCTCTTGACATCGAATGTGCTTTTCAAAATGCGTCCCACGCAAGTGTGATCAAGACACTGGAGAAAAGGAACGTGACGGGTAGCTGAAACAACTGTGTGGGAGAATAAGATTCGTCTTGGCGCTACGAGGGGCTGAACACAGAGTAGAATTCAAACCTCCTTGCTATGGAGCCTAGTAATAGATGAGCTCCTTGATGTGTTTACCAGCAATGGGATTCGATGCCAGGGGTACGCCGATGACAAACAACGGTTCTTTCTTTTACTAAAGGAAGATCTCTTCCGGGCTTGAGACCCCTAAAACTCGGTGGCAGGAGATTGGAGGTGTCTAAAGAGGTCAAATTCCTTGGCATACGGATTTAACACTGTCCAAAGCTACCAAGGCACTCATGATATGCAGATGCCTGTCACTTACTGAGCGGTTGCTTGGGCATCTAAGGCAAAACCAGTCTTCGGTAGACCTTCAACTATCGAGCATACAAATGCTCGCCTGCGCTTCAGAGGCAATGCGCACTTGTGCACCGCTGCATCTAGTGATCAAACAGACAGCGAAACATGCCATGCTGCTAATGACAGAGAGGGCTTCGGCAAAGGGGAGATAATGCCATCTTCACAAATAAACGCCCGGGGGGAAGACACATCACTGGCCCTTCTTCCAAAGGGACCGCTTTACGAAAAGGATTAATTTTACAAAAAATTTTTAGAGATACTCTCGGCAAGAGTGGAATAACTCCACACTCGACGGGACCGCATACCCAACTATCCATAATAATGGAACGATTTCCGAGCATAGTTCAAGCAGAAGTCTTTGCTATAAGGAGTTGCCGGCAATGGCCTCACCGACGAACTATGCCGCTCTGCGCCAGCGTCCAGGATGATGTGGCCAGAACCATACATCGCAGTGAGGTCCCACACTTTTAACGAGCTGCTCCGCACGGAAGAGATAGTGGGGATAGAACAGCATTGGCAAAATGCGCCATACCAAGCTGCTTATGAAGGGGACAATGTCGCAAGGTTTAATGAAATGATCAACCTCCTCCGAGACAAATTCCGCCTCCTTGTCGCTCTCTATACAGGCCACTGCAAACACTTGTCCAACAGGGGCATAGTCTCTTGCGCAAACTTCCGGTTCTGCGACATGAAACAAGAAACCTTAGAACACCTGATACTCGATTGCCCAGCAATTTGAAGAAGCAACTTCCACCTACGTGGACAGGGATCAATCACATCACCTCAGTTGCGCCCAGCAATCTAATGGAATTGTTCAGAATGCTGCACTTTGGTGACCACATATGATATAGGGAAGGACACAATAGACCGTAGATCGCAATACAATAAGATATTTTGAATATTCTTCTTATTTAGCAAAATCAAATTTATATTCTAAAGGATTATGGGTAAAGCTTTGCTAGATATATTTTTATAAGAACTAAACTCTTTTTTTAAATCTCCTAATTTAATCTTCATAAATACTAAATCGGGAAAAGCAAACTCACTGCGTTGTATTTCGGAAGCTGCAGCGAGCAAATCATTATTATCATCATCCAACATCTTATGTATGTGTGTGTGTTGGCAAGACGTTGACTATGCGCTTAGTTTGGCGGCAGCTGCTCGTACGGCAAATAGGCACCGTGACAGTTGCAATTGTAGAATTGCCTATTTGGTGGTTGCTCTGCAGCGCTGCTACTGTGGCTGTATTGTTGTGGCAACTGCGATGCCGGCAGCGATGGCGACAGAGAAGATTGCACTAATTGCGGCTGTGGCAATTGTGCAGGCGACTGCGAATACGGCGCCAACTGCACAGTTTGTGAATATGGAGGCAATTGGGAATATTGTGGCGGAGATGGTGGAGGTGTGAGCGTGACTGGCGACTGTGCAGCTGACTGGTGATAGTCGTATGGGTTGTAGGTTGCTGACGTTGCAAGTGCAGATGCTTGTGGATAAAATTGCGACTGTGGCAAGTGGTGTTGTTGTTGTTGTTGTGACACTTGCTGATGTTGGTGCTTTTGCTGCAACTGCTGCTGCTGGTGTGACAAATTCAGTTGTTGCTGTAAATGCTGTTGCTGCTGAAAAGCCTGTTGTGTATACTTTTCCTGCTGCTGCAATTGTTGTGCTTGCAACTGTTGTTGGTGGTTCTCCTTTTCGAGCAGTGACGTCAAGTGCGGCAGTTTTGCCTCATCCGGCTTGAGTGGCGGCAATGGCAATAGATGATGCTCCTTGTCTTCGCCTTGTTGGCCCTGCTGTTGCGGCAAATGTATGTAGTGTGGGTAGGGACTGTTGTAGACGCCGCTCAAACGTGGCTCCCAACGGAAGTATGGCACACGTTCATATATGGTATACCAGCGCGTCTGCGGATTCACCTGATAGTAATAACGATCGCGTTTGAGCAACTGATTTGTCGAGTGACGCTTTTCGGGTGTTCTCGCCGAACGCACAACAGCCCGACACACTTGCGACTGGGAATTGTTGTGGCGTATACCGCGTCCACTTGGTGGTGACGCGTGTTGTGTTTGTTGCACAATGGGTGCTATAACACGCCGATTAGTGTTTTGATTGCAGCTGTTTGGGCTGCAACGGTTATTTTGGCCGTGGGATGCCGTTGCGCTGTTACTACGGTGAAGGGTTTATGGCGGTAAGAGCTATTTGCGCCCTCAATTATTATGCTGGCTATTCCGGTAGTTTTGGGGTATATTTACAGGGTTATGTTTGCGCACTTGTATGATTTTTTATTAGACAACACATTCACTTGCTTCATGCACTATTCACGAATCACTTATCACTTTCAATAAAAACACTGCACCAACTCGAAGATTGTCTGTAAGAAGAAGAGGGAAAAATTATAAATTTTTGTTTTATTAAATTAATTATTATTAGAATATATTGAATTGGTTTTTAATTCAATAATTTAAAATTTTAAAAATTATCAACTTTAGTATAGTCCTATCAACTAAAGTTGCTAGCTGGATAAATGAGCCTCATCTCCCGATCTTACCATACACACCACCTTAGCACGCAACATCGACTCAGACTCACAACACTGAGACGCAATTTTCACCACACTCATCAATCCTCACATACAGTCCATATTATACACTACTCACGAGAGTACCACACATCGACACACACAAACAAGTAAACCAGCTACAATCACACCACCTGATTACCCACACAAGGAGAATAAAAGGACCGACTAGGGATTCCTCACACATTCAATAACAACATTGATCGATCGTGCATTTCGCTATCATACCACGTCGCGAGTGTCTAGAACACTTTTCTCATTTTTCCGTTGACCAAATTGTAAAACACCGTTTCTTTAAAAATAAAATTCTATACATATAACCTCGTTTTACTTTTGATTTGAACAAGTGTTCTAAAAAATAAGGTGAGTACGCGTGAAGCTGGTCTTTAAGTGTAGGAAAAGTTAAATATTTCTTCAACTATCAAAAAAAAAAAGTACTTAAGTTCATCCAAAGTCATTGTTATCTCATCTTCACCTGAAACCAAAGGCCGTTAACTATGAATAGGGTCAAAAGTTTTGTACTAATCTGAAGTTTGGTTTCAGTTTTTGATTTTGGCCATAAAAGAACGTAAAAAAATGTTGGAAAGTGCAAATTCTATATGTGAAAATTGGTTTCGGCTGATCAATCTTCCTTCCATTTGAGTCAATACTCTTATTATCTTCAGTTAATATTCCTGATGAGCTTTCAAGCCAGGTTTTGTCTAATTTTAGACCTATGATGTAGATTGCTTTTTATATTTCGGGATTAGGGATCAAAAACATATATTAATCATCAAAAATCGATCTTCCATTCAAGATATATATTTTTGCATGCGTTTGAACCAATTGCCGAAGCTAATTTGCCAATTTGCCACTCAAACTGAGGTATCTCCAAAACATGCGTTCTGAACGCATTAACCACGTATTCAGGTGCCAAAGAGCGTTGATCTCTTAGTTTTTTTTTTTTACGTAGAGGAATAAACGAAGTCATTCGGGTTCAAATCAGAACTATACTGCGCGTAATTCACCAAATTGATGTTTGAAGTGCTGAAAAATGCAGTAAAAAGTTATATACCTTGGTGGTTAGTAGTCTTGATTTTTGAAGACAACTGACAAACAAATATTTGTTTGACATGTTAATTTATTGATTTTTTTCCAAAAACAAGCAACCACTTGCTTGGAAGTGCTTCATATGCGAACAGCTTTTGTTCAATTCCGCTTATACTAGGCTTGCTAAATTCTGAAATGTAAAAGGCCACCTACGTATTCATGTGGACTTTTGCTGGTCTTTGCTAGCGCTTGCAAATGTTAAATGGACGTAAGCAAGTCACAGCTCTCTCATGATGTGCTTTTTAGTTTATATCACCAATTTTTGTATTTTTTTTTTTAAATTAAACTGTACTTATATGATTGTCACACTCGACAATTTCCACTTTTTTATCGATATTATCTTCTTCTAGGAGGAGCATCTACTCTTGGCATCAACATTTCCAGAACAGAATAGACGAAACCACAATTGCGTGCAATTTACTGAAACACTAACCAGAACATTAACTTTTCGCACTCTCAGCTGCCAGCCATGCTATATTCAGATTACCAAAGCCATTTTTTGAAAAAATAATAGATTTTTTTACTGGATTCTTTATATGGTCCTCTCAATTAGGAACCGGTGACTAATGAGGTTAAGGTATTGAGGAACTGTAAACCATATAAACAAATACATAACATTTGAAGGAAAAAGTTTTACTCGTATGCCGTCATTTTCACTTAGAAAGGTTCAGTATAACATTTTCCAACAGCCAGAAAAATAAATATAAAAATATACGAGAGTATCAAGGTGAACTTTGATCACTCGTAAGGCCAGAGGTTTGGAGTACTAGGAAACAGCTTTAAACATCATCTTAAGCCCTTAGTACCACTAGTCTTCACGCTTTCCAGAATACAAGAATTCTTTATTTATCACTCAGGTCTACTAAGCATTAAAATAGTCTAAATTATCAGCCTTTTAAATACAGTTATAAATAATATTTTCTAGCCTTGATTTATTTTCACTAGATAAACAATAAACTATAATTCAATATTTGCAATCATTCATTAAAATTTTACAACTACTTTTGTCGAAAGAAAGAATTTCTAAAAAAAAATAAAATAAATACTTTCGAAGCAAATATGCACACACCTGTTGCTTACGTATGCATATACCTATGTAAGCATAATTAATGAGCACATATTTCTGATTCTGATTGCTACAGAAAACCACACGAAAGACACAACAACACATCCTGATAGTCACATAAGTGAGTATGTGTGTATGTATAAAGATTAAACGCACCGATAAATATTAAAAACAATATCAGCTACAAATGTACATACATGCACGATTAACAGTTAATCCACAAACCGAAAGAATTTTATAAAATTAACCGAATTAAAATGTAAAAAATAATTTCAAGTTCAACGCGATGAAGCTGAAATTCAACTAAACAACAGTTGCGGCGACGAAAAGTTTTGTGGCTGCAGCGTAAGCTCGAAATATCCAAACGAGCACGGTTGGGCTGAGTTTTACGGGCAAAAGTTCTACAAACAAATATACAAATACCTAAATGGCATATAATATGCTTTGGTGAGTGTGTATGTGTAGGTGCATGAAAGTAGCAACGGAGAGCAGAGCAAAATAAAGCAACAAGAGCGGCAAAGAGAGTAAAAAAAAGTAAATGTAAATAAATTCAACAAAGTTTACGATTAGTTAGCCGTTTGACTGCTTGTTTTGACTGGTTAACGCATTGTTGTTGCCGCTGCCGGCGGCTAAGCTTTTCCACTTACATTAAACTTAGTGCCTTTTTATATAATACATATGTATATGTTTGTATGTACATATATGCATATGAAATATAACCAACAACAAATATTCCAATTTTATTGTTTAGAGTTGGATCAAAAGGAATATATAAACGTATTAGTAGCTATAGAAATACATACCATATATGTATAGCGAATACATACATACATATAAATGTCGAAAGAATGAGAGTAGGAAGCAAGTATGCTAATAAAAATATTAGAAATTTATCTGAATAATAATCTTCTTCTTCATAATAATAATAGATTTAACGGCACAGAATTCACAATCAAAAAATGTAGCTTCATTCTTGTTTGGAATCGAAATGAAGAGCTGCAGTCAAGTCAGTAAACACATATCTGTAAAGTTATAATGGCACTCATTTCCGCCGGCGTTGATTATCTACGGTTGTGAAAAATGCGATTGTAAAGTAAGAAAATAAGGTTAGACTCACATAGGTGGTAGCATAAATGTCAACGGGAATTTTGGGTAAATAAAATCGATCAGTTTCGATATCTTATCCCCTCTTCATGTTAGTTGTGATATTCTCAAATGTTTGTACCGTTATGAGCACCGCGTTTCACTTTTATTTAGAATATATGGAACCCTTGTAAGGATACTATTTAGAGCTTTTTCATAGGCAATAAATATTTTGGGTATTACAATTTCCATTTATTAATATAAGGCCTTGCAAATGTTAAAGCCTTGATAATCAATTCATTAAGAGTAGCCCCTGGGCCTTCATTAAGCATAACATGCCTATTTACATTATATTTTTATTCAGGTTAAGTTTTTATTTGGCGTCATTTCCAGCGGCCCCTCGAAAAAAGGTTATTTTAGTTAAGACCATAAACCACTTGGTATGGGATGAATGAAAAAAATAAAAGTGAAATTTTGTATTTTTGGCAGACGATTGTAAGAAAAATTTTGAAAAAATACGGTTGTGTAAGCTAACGTTGAGCATTATCAAAAGCTCCGTCTTGATCAGGAAGAACCTCTCTGAGTCGTACGATGCCAAACTAAATTACAGACAAAGCGACTACCTTTCCTGCTACTTTTTCAATATACTGCTGGAGGAAATGGTGCGAGTTGCAGAACTTAATCGAGCAGGTACAATATTCTATAAGAGTGTACAGCTGCTGGCGTACGGCGATGATATTGATATTGTTTCTTTGTTTCAAGTGTTACCTGTTTGTCAGAACATCTTGTATAATTTGTTTGATTGGCTACTTTCCAAGGTTTGGCGATTCGAAAACAACTAGTAGATGGTATACTTTCTTTGATTGGATACTCTCTAATGCTTGATGATTCGATGGCAGCTAATGTAAATTTATTTTGTTAAAACATCAAATATGTCCCTTCTGCCGGGGCAGTTTCGCTTTTTTCAAGCCATCATTAGTTGTGTCATTGTACACCGGAGAGTGTCTTAACTAAGCAACATTCAATACAATGACACTTTATGAAGTTTCAGAAGATAAAACCTCAGTTCTAACCCGTAGAAGTCGATTAGATATTATATTCTCTCCGATAAGGTCCAACCTTTATAAACTACAGACCATCATTGGTTCGATATCTGTAAACAATTCTTCAAAATCAGCCAACTTCATCACTTTAACTTGACCTATAATAAAATTAATTCATTCATATTTATGTCATGTGTTCTTAAGCGTATTGATTTTATCGCCGCAAACTTATGAGTTTTGAGAAGCAATTATTAAAATAAACAAAATGCTGTGTTGACAGTATAGTGTGTCGAGAAATTGTGTTTAATTTGAAGTAGAGTACACAATCAATTTTTTGTTGCACTTTCTATTGTTTTTGTTTACGAAGAAGTCAGGAAAAATAATTAAATTTTACTTCTCTGCAGAAAAATGTGGCGGCTTATTATGACAAAGTTATTTAATTTATTCTTTTTTTTTCTTTATTTTTTAAGCCAACGATAGTAGCGAAAGAATTGAGTATAACAGCAGAAATAGAAAACAGTTGGACAATTGAACAAGCGACGTATTTATGGTTATTTATGGATTACTAATTGCGCTTTTTCAGAAATAGGAAAACGTAAACAACGAAATATGACTACATATTTTTGAAAACGCAACGAAATGCTGTTATTCGCGTAAAAAATAGTACGCTATTAAAACGTTTGTGAATGTAGCTAAGTCAAGCAACCAAGCAACAAATGTTCGGTCGTTAATCGGTTCAAGTTAATTGCCGCTACTTGTGTGACCATATATGAAAGTTGGTCAAAATAGTAGTGTTATAAAGAGATAAGGCTGTATTAAGAGAGTTGTTGACGCTTCAAATAGGAGTTTTCCAAGTTTCTCTTTATAGTTATTATATGTATTAAGCAGAAGAAACTTTCACATGTAAGAAATAAATTGGAATTTTTGTCTGCTGCAACATCTAATGATACTTAGTAATGTTTTCTTTTTGGATCTTGGTTGGATTAGCAGAGACTCAAACCCGACAATAAGCCAGTACTCAATATGAAAATTTCGAAAAGATGGTGATTGCTCTCACTGGCATCAGTGGTGTACTATGTACAACCCCAGGATGGCACTTAGTGTCAGTCTACATATAGCACCCGTGCACATAGCCAGACTCCAACCGCATCCTTGATAACTAGGGCAACTGCACCGC